AAAAAAAAAAAAAGAGGGGAGAAGAGAGATGAGGAGTGGAGAGTGGAAAAAGAAATGAAAAAAAGAAGCGAAAAATTCGCAATGGCTCAGCCAAGTGAGCAAAGTCTATGAGTTATGATGTCCTCAGGAAAAAATATCTGGAGAAGAAAAAAAGAAGCACAGAAGAAGAAAAGAGAAAAAAAATTGACTGTGGTCTCGTTAGCTGTTTTGGGCGAATCGGTGTGCCGCCCGCTCTGTAAATTTTTTTGGACCTTGTGACAAATGCTCAATTGATAAAATCCTCCACTTCAATTATTTGTCTGGCAATTGATTTGTTTGAAGGTGGAATTGTGTTGCTAATGGTCCGGTATCAGCCTTATAGAGTATGACACAGATTTGGAGAAGTCGTGAGGAGAAATTTCATGAGGAGAAGTATACGAGTATTTCCATGACTAGGTATATGCTGAACTCCGAGAAAAGAGCGATGCGGTCCTACTTATGCTCCAATGTTCCAGTTACAGATTGATCTACACCACATGCTTACCCTTACTATTATCTACTTCTACTCTTCTGTTTACACCTACGCCCATCAGATAAGGCCTCGACCGCTGAGTCAGCTAGCGGTAGATCCCGGAACAACTACCCCGGAATTTCCCGCGGTTCTTTTCGGAGCTTAAATTCGTTTGTTCTTTTTTAAGGATCTGATGTCAGTTCATTATTGTAAATGTTTTCAGCGGAAATCTCGACACTTGCCCTTTCCGCTTTCGGTCCGACTTCTCGCCGCTTTTGGCTCACTGAGCCGCCCGGAGCAACTCGGGATCGCTCAGGCGAGGATCACTGCACCCTGACAAGGGAGCCAAATAAAACGTGCAAAGCCAAGCCTGCAATCCTAGTTCTCAAGACCGACCGCTTTGGTTTAGTGATGCCATAGAATAGCAAAGTGTCTATGTTTTACAAGTCGGCTTACCGATCATGATAGTCAAATAGTATAGTCACCGGTATAGTACCGGCAAAATAGGCAAACCGGCAAATCGTGAACAGCCCTGTTTACAACTGTGGCCCACTTTACATGAGAAAAGGAATGAGACATTAAGAGTCAACAGACTTCTCAGACGGTCTGCGGATCCGTCACGAGACGGTCGTCTGATATCTGGCACAGGAAGGCATTTTGTTAAGAAGTTGCAGAAGGATGCACTGTATCTTCTTATTGTCAATCTACCCACGGCGGCGGAGGAGGGAGAGGCTAGAGAGCTGAATGCTTTGCTCGGGAACATGATGGAGCAGCCCGATTCCGATGCTCCTTAAAGACAGCACTATTACTGGCCAGGCTTATATTGCCAGTATTACATGGATGATTGTTTTGTAAACTGTACAAGTCAAGACATTCTCTTCGCTAGCAAAGGTTCCTTGGCCTACTAGAGCACCCGGCAGCTCCGGGCTTAGAATCTTATAAAGTCATTATAAACTAGGACACTATATATGTCAAAAGTCACGGGAAGGATCGAATGGCTTATCCCATATAGAGAATTAAGATGATAAAGTGACTCTTACAGCCTCAGCTCGTCCTATATAGTCCGATGACATCAGGATTTACATGGTTGGCAGCTGGGTCATCTTTGACTGGGTGAAGTGCAGCATAGCTCCGAGAAACCCGCCGAAATTAGGGCTGATGGTGACTTGGCATCACTAAATCCTTGATTAGGTAAAACATTCTTGATTTGCACCAAACAACAGGGCTCTGACCAAAGAGACTTTACTTCGTCGTGTCAGCAAATCTCCACGCCGCGGACGGTTGTTGCGGAGCGGTGATTTAAATCTGAGACGCTTTCCCTAATATGCCTGTTTCGGTAGCTTAATAGGTAATCCATTAGATGTCGAAATCGGCTAGTGTTATATCGGCAGTCTCCGTGGAGAATCCCTTGTAGGGCAATCATAAACATCATATGCAGGCAGCAGACCTGGAAATATCATAGAACCTTTCTATTGGGGAACATGTGGGAATGGAAAAGCCTTCATTGCATTCTGGTCTCGCGGTGGCATAGCCGTATGCCATGAGATGTTACAGAGGCTGAAATTTGACGAGTGCTAGTGTTCCGTGTAGTTAGTTACATATGGGGTCAAAATTGAATGATGCTGTTGCAGATGTACATATCATCTTAGGAGGCTATTCCTATGGGTCATTGATCGCTTCACACCTTCCGACCATTTGCATGGAGTTCTTCAAAGAGACACCCGACGATACCACATTCCAGGTGATCTGCAAAATCACAAAAAAGATTGCCACATGCTCAACAGAAAAATCCCAAAGTCGAATTCAATCACTGACATTGCGCGACTCCAGTCTCACCGGTGGTAAAACCAGACCTACAAAGATCACCAAACCGACTATCTCTTACCTCTTCGTGTCACCACTTTCACCGCCAGTCAGCATATTTGTGGCAGTGGTCTCCAAGGTGTCACTGGATGTAGATTTTGACGAAACATCCAGGCAAATTCCACTGAAACAGCGGATCAACTCTGTGCGAATTAGTCATTGGCCATTTATGAAAACATGACACCTTCACTTCAGCCAGTAAGCTACAGAAGTGGTCAGACGAACCATTTTATGACCCACGGAGTAATCTTCAGTGTCGCGGTATTGATGGCGCGAGCCATTTCTGACGAGAAAAGGTGTTGAGGTGCGGGCAAGAGACACTATAAGGAGGAACTGGGTTTGTCGGATGCCCTGACTTTTTTCCTTTTTTTTTTTTTTTTTTTTTTTTTTTTTTTTTTTTTTTTTTTTTTTTTTTTTTTTTTTTTGATGAGCTTTTGATCTCAATTTACAGTCTAAACTAATGAGACTCGGTGGTCTAGATTGACAGCTACAGTGAGGGTCAAACATCAAGTTACTTCTGCCTGATGAAAGGGTAATATCAGGCTCAGGCTCTACATGCGCCATATCTGCCTGTCCTGAAGCATGTGAAAACAGAGCGATGATACCCATGCTATGAGATGGTCTGTTCGCATGATATTTCCTGCAGGCCTGTTGGATTAAATGACTCAATCAGACTCGACCAGTTTCTGAATTTTCTACAGGGGTTATAGGCTTATGATCTTATATTTTTAAACCACCTGTGTGATACATCTCCACGAGTGCTTTTTCGGCGTAGATTTTCCTTCTGCCATTCATTCCAGAAGTATCTACATACAAACGAGTTAAATGAGAATACTCACCAGAACTAATTATTACCAGCTTCCCAATGGAGCTTAAATGAGAGGATCTTTTATAGACCATCATTTGTTAATCAACGGCGCTGCCACAAAAAGGTCGTTAAACTTTGCGTCCATTTGCTTTGGCAAACCGGCCAGCCTGGACACTTCGCCTTGTCCCAGTTAAATGCCTTGTGCCAGCGCGACACGGAACCCAATTGCCCTTGATCTCCGGTTTCCAACGAGGGCTGCTTCCATGCTTTGTGCACATCTTCCCATTGTTGTGAATCAGGCAAAGGGTTAGCTGGCTCCCACTCCTCAGCTGATGGTGGCATCTCAGGAAATGGCTTGTCTGAATCCAGCTTGACCAGATCACTATCTTCAATCTCGAAGACGGGCAGCTTGTCTGCGGATAGGGTCGGTGGAGGGACAGTAAGAAAAACGTCCATAATCAAGGAGAGAGTGCCGTCCTTGGTATCAAGAAGATCTTTGACATGATTATTTCCATAAGAAGAATCGGTAGCTGGGTTATCTAGAAAGAAGATCAGTTGAACTTCTGGTGAAAAGAGAGGGAAGGCAGGACGAACAGTTATCCCGCAAAGCCGTCGGCATAGACTTGGCCTGTTTCTCCATCATCCAGGCCATATTATTCTTCTGCACTTCATCCTGAATAATCTCAACAATCAGTGTAGATGACATCGGGTTCTCCAAATGCATTGGCTTCGCGAAAATATCTGCCTTGTGCGCAATGCTCTTGCCGCCCTGCGATACACTTTGAACAGCCATCTTGCAGCTCACAACCAGAGATCAACCCAGCGCGAACTGCTGACGGGGTATCCTGATCCGACCCGGTGCGCTCACCGTTGTTAACCAGGCCGGGATTGGCGAGAACGGTATGGCTTTCGTTCTTCACTCTCTTTTGCGTAGGGATTTCTTACGGAAACTCTTCGATTAGAGGCAGATCTACAGAGCTGACGGTGTCTAAGACTTATGAGATGAAGTTCCATAATCCTGGCTGAACCTGTGACAGTTATGGAGACAGTTTGCAAGCCGCGTCTGATGATCCTCAAATGCAAGATCTCATGGCACAATCAAAAGCTGCAGAATCCAATTTGCCAACAATACATGCCGAGTCTGTAGGCCCATTATAACGACTCATATATGACGGCTCAACACTGCAGCAATGAATGATACATCGCAAATGCTGCTACTCAGTCATGTCGCCAACAAATTCTATAAAACCCCTTCATTACCTAGATAGATTTCCTCTTCTTTTCTCTTCTCCAGATTCGACATTCTCGTCGATGGTTGCAATAGTCTAGATAGGAACATTTATTCATTATTATCTACTATTCCGAGCCTGTGACACTCATAGTACTCCTAGCATTAGATGTACATTCATTACTATAGCTTTCTGCTATTTAGCTGATCCATTACACCTAGCGCTCCGCATATAAATATAAAATATCGCACTACGCGGCCAATAGGCTACTTACTTGGCTACCTTAAATATTGGTATCCACGCACTCGATATGAAAAATTGATTAGTTACAAGTACAAGAAATTGGGAAAGAAGAAGTAAAAGCAAAAGTAAACAGCAAGCATGCTTCAGGGATCGCCCGAAAAGGAAAGGCGCCACTCCACCTCCGCCTCTTAAGAATACGAGGCCAGGTCGTAAATTCCTTCCCATCCACCACAGATTCTTGAGCCAGCTATCACTTGATGTCGAGATGGGTTCTAAGTCTCCAGAGCATGAGAATCAGCCAAATGGTGGTATGTATTTGCCTCATTTTTGAATTTATATGATGCTAATCTCACCAGGTCCGTCCGACACTGGCAACGCCATTGCCGCCGGCGGCGAACCTCGAGGCACACACCTATCCCGGGATGGCGATGTTACACTGGGCGACGATGGCGGAGATGATGATGACGGCGGGGATAAGGCCGGCCCTGCTACCTCGCTGACATCCCAGGCTATACCATCAACTCCTAAGAAGAAAAAACGCAGTAAGAAATCCAAGAAGAGAGCTTCATCCGTGAAGCAGTCATCCCCACCACGGGTTCCTTTGAAAAATCTTTTCCCTAGTGGCCAGTACCCAAGCGGCGAGATTCAGAGTTATAGTCCCGTGGTCGAGAATACAGCACGCACGACAGCTGAGGAGGACCGCTATTTGGCCCGCACGCACCTTCACGATGACAGCTTTCTCAACAACTATCGCAAAGCAGCAGAGGTCCATCGCCAGGTCCGGGGCTGGGTGCAGGACAGTGTTCGGCCCGGACAGGCTCTCATGGACATAGCTGTGGGCATTGAGGATGGCGTTAGAGCGCTGCTCGATAATGCCGGCCTCGAAGCTGGACAAGGTCTTGAGTCGGGGATGGGATTTCCCACCGGACTGGCGCTGAATAATTGCGTTGCACATTACACGCCCAATCCCGGCCAAAAGGACATCTTCCTACAGGAGAATGACGTAATGAAGGTCGATTTTGGTGTTCATATCAACGGTTGGATTGTTGATAGTGCGTTCACCATGTCATTCGACCTAAAATATGACAATCTGCTTGCTGCAGTGAAGGACGCTACAAACACTGGTATCAAGGTATAACCTGCATACTTCCGTGATTATACTGCATCTCTAGTGTCGCTAATGCTTGTTAGAATGCTGGTGTTGATGTCCGGATCAGCGATGTCAGTGCTGCCATCCAGGAAGCGATGGAAAGCTACGAGGTTCAAATTGGCAGCAAAATCTTCCCTGTGAAACCGGTGCAGAACATCTCTGGGCACAACATCAAGCGGTATCAGATCCATGGTGGGAAGTCAATCCCTTTCGTCAAGAATCGCGATCAAACCAAGATGGAGGAGGGAGAGGTATATGCTCTTGAAACATTTGGGTCAACAGGGCGTGGGTATACAGTCGATGGGGTAAGTTCTCTTACAAATCTAGAGGGAAGCATGCTTATCTGTTGTAGCCTGGCGTCTATGGATACGGAAAGGAGCTGGATGCACCAAAGATGATCACATCGCCTCTTGCCTCTGCCAAATCTCTGTATAAGACGATCAACGACCATTTTGGCACGCTTGTCTTTTGCCGCCGTTATCTTGAACGGCTTGGAGTTCAACGGTATTTGGCTAGTGTAAGTACTCACCATCCTAGAAATTGATCAGTATGCTTATAAGAGTAGATAAGCCAACTGGCGAACAAAGGCGTTGTAGAGGTCTACGCGCCGCTTATGGACATCGAAGGATCGTATTCGGCCCAGTTTGAACACGTATGCTTCTATTCTGTCTTGTTGAATATACAGCTAACATAACATCCATAGACATTCTTGCTGAGGGAGTCCAGCAAGGAGATTATCAGCCGTGGCGATGACTACTAGATGATCACTGAGGTGCATCTGGTACGGCATAGCTTATATGAAGATTTAATTTTTTTTTTTTTTTTTTTCCTTTAGTCGACTTTGATTTTTTTCGAACGTTATCCAACATGGCTTGCTCTGGACGTCCTGGGTCTTTTCACTATTCAACATGGTATGCCGCTCGTTTTTGACCTGCTCAATTGACTACAGGCCAGTCCTATCTTTATCTAGTAACAGAAATACTGCTTAGACAAGCTTGAATTGGGCTTTTGCCAATATTATTTACAACCATTTTCCAATTCTTGTTGCTCTGGACGAAATACTGTAGCAAGCTACCATTGATAGCAAAGTAGATGACTTTCTTTAATTCTCGTCAGTTTTCTCACCGCCTGGAAAATGAAATCATCACCGCGTCCCACCGCCTAAAATAACCAGCAGAATCTACATCACGGAGTACTTCTGTCTACAAGACGCATTCAAAATTGTTGTACATCTAAATATCCCCAGGCAATTATCCTTATATCTGGAGGTTTGTTGAATTTTAGTCACCCGATCATACAATGCAAATGCAGCTAGATATACATAAAAAATGTATAGCAACAAGAAAATAGTAAGATATGCAACGCCATAATCATGCGACACCCTTCCATAGAATGAGATAGAACTGAACAAATTGCCCTTGACATACTCTTGACAAAAGCAGAGTGAAGAGAAAAAGAAGAGTAGAAAGTAAAAGACGACAGATAACCTAACCATCTATGATGTTCAACGCCATAATCCCAGGTCGTAAGCAAAGAAATAAGTCAACAGAAAAGAATATACACCTAGAAAGTAAAAAAGACATCTTGTATCCGAAACGTCGTAAGATAAATCGTGAAAAATGCGTAAAAATGGGGATCTCAACCCGAGTATTTCGGAGTGGGATGGAAAACAGGCTGAGCGATGGGTCCCTGAGGCCATGCGTCCTGGTGAAGATAAGGCACTAGGCCAGTTCTGCGCTCCGCCGCTGGCTTTCCCAATGGTTGATAGTGCATATGATCATAGGGAACAGGTCGGTTTTGCTGAAGCGATGCAGACGGCGGAGGAATCAACAGGGTGTTGACGGACCGCACAGGGCGATAGGGGGAGTTGCGATTCGCCAGCCAGAAAGACGGTGACAGATGGGTTGGAGATGTGTGGACGGAATACGCTGACAGCGCCGGCGAGACGGTGGCCGAAGTAACGCCGAGGTGGTGTCGTCCCGGGTCCGGCAGAGACATAGGCGTAGTGTACATGCCGTTCGACATGGACGGTACGGTGGTCGACGGCATCTGTGGAGCCCAGTTCGACGCTGACGTCGGTGTGTTGTACGACGAAGGTCCCGTCCGGACAGAGACCGGAGGGAGTTGATGTGAGAGGGAAGAGGGAACGCTAGGAGCCAGGTTGGAGGAGACTGGGATGTTGGGTCGTGGGAGCTGGGAAACTGGTCTTGCCATTGGTGCCTGCGAAGCTGGAGCAGAAGTCGGCGTCAACACCGGCGGAAGCGTCGGGATACTGGGGAGAGCGGAAGATGGCGGAAGGGTTGCGACAGGAGGGTTGGTAGATACTGCTACTCGCTTCATCGGATGCTCCTCCGCCGGTTCATCACGGCTCCGCTTTCGGGAACTGACGGATGACGGTATCTCATTCCCAAGCCGAGGGAGAGGCGCATACGAGCCATTGTTCATGGGAGCATTCCAGTTTGGCAGGGCACGCAACGACTCGTTTACCGGGGGCGACGGGAGCTTTGAGCCAGGAGACAAGGACGGCAACGGAGGCGTAGATCCCAAGCTGGGAGAGATGCGGAGCGCAGGAGGAGTCTTGGGAAGCAGTTGTTCACTGCCCTCGGGGACCAAAGAAGCCTTGTGGTAGAACTCAAAGAACCGCCTCAATTTGGAATGCCACTCGGTCCACTCCTCTGCGGATGCAAAGAGGTTGTATCGAATATTGCTCAGGAACTCAACTTCCATGATGTGAATCTCCTGCACCGATATCCCCGACACTTCAGCCCACGTCTTGTTAGTGTAAGTGTTGTCATCCAAAAATTTGTTTCCAAGCATCAGAGCAATCGTCAACAGTCTGAATTCACTTCCACTCTTCCCTTTGACGCCCGAGTTGAATTTCTTCAGCCGGTAGATGAACATGAGGGCCAACAAGATGACGTTTTGGCTCACTTGCGTTGTCGACAGGACCGTGGTCACCCATTTCTGGAATCCCAATGCGGGTGTGACTTCAGGAACGAGTGTTGGGAGGCTGCCCAGGCGGTTCTCAATGGCGTTCAACTTAGCTGTACTCTCGAACCAGAACAGACATGTCATCTATAGAACAAATCAACGTAGTCAGTCTTCTGTCACTTGACACCAAAAATTCACCAGCAAGTCAAATCGTACCTGAGCTGCAAATTCTGCAAGGTTACCATTGGTGTCACTGATGGACGAGGGAATCTGCAAATATGAGGGGAGCGAAGACTTCTTCTGACTGCCTGATTCGGCAGGCTTGGCGGAGGCTAGTTGGTATTGGGGCTTGCTAGACACGGCCGCAGAAGTCGAGGACAACGATGAAGAACCGTAGTTGGAACGAGAGTGACTGGAATAATTGCTGTACGAGTGCATCGGGAGTCCATTTCGATTGTTGCCATAGCTGCCTGGGGTGGTCGTCGCAGTAGTGGTAAGTGGATTTGGAGGAAGATAGGCGTTATAGGCAACCCCGTTCATCATTTCGCTGGGAGGTGTTGGTAGACCGACCCTCCAAGGAGCGGTCCGGTGATGATGGAGTTTATTAGAAGTGATATCCAGAGGCTGTTGTTGTTGCTGCTTTTGATACGTTCCGGACTGGGAGTTGTGTTGAGGAGTGGGAGTGATCGAACCCGGTATAGAAGAGTAAGGATACGGAAGCGGAGCCAGAGCCGGAGGCATATGGAAGGGCGGACGGATTCTGGGACCGATTTGCACCTGACGACAATGACGATGGTGAAGTAGCAGTTTTAAAAAATAAAAAAAAGGGTTGCAACTGCAAATTCAATTGAACTGGTAGGATAGCAACAGCACAAATGGTGAATGTTGACCATGCCTTGCCTTATGGAATGAAGGCACTAAAGGGATTGTGTCTGGAGTAGAAATTGGTAGGGTCAAAAAGAAAATAAAAAGAAAAAGAAAAAAAAGAAAAATAACGGAATCACATAGTATAATAAAAAAGAAAGAAGAAATGAGGAACAGCCCGTGTTAAAACGGACCAAAAAGGAAAATGCAGTATAGTTTGGGATACTATCTGCCTGTTTGGAGACTCTATAAAGGTATGGTAGTAAAGAGTCCGCAGCCAATACCACGTTTGGGGAAGGTGATATAGAAGAGAAAGGGACCCGTGTAAGACGGGGCTAAGTTAGAGCGGTTATAATAATAGGAAGAGAAGGGGGGAAAAAGTAACAATCATAATAAGAAAAAAGACGAAAAAAGACGAAAAAAGAAGCGTCGTCGTGGAGGAATGAAGTCAAGACATCATCCTCTGGAAATCCGTAAATTAATGAATCCATCCATAGTCTTTTTTTTTTTTTTTAAAAAAAAAAAAAAAAAAAAAAAAATTATTACAAGTACAGGCATAAAGTGTACAGGCAATCCTCGCCTAGGAGCATTTAGACAAGGGCCCGGGAAAAAAAAAAAAAAAAAAAAAAAAGGTGGACAAGGACAAGACAGAAAGACAAAGTTTGACCCGGACGCAGGTCCAGAGAGTTGATCCTCCTTTCTGGTCCCCGTTTGGGTCGGTTCCGGGTTGGTAGTAGTAGTAATAGTAGTAGTATGTACGGAGTATGGGTGAATGGATATGGATGGATGGAGAAGGATATGGACGGAGACGGATTGTCTCTTCTTGGTCTGGTCGTTTAGTCAGTCTTGTCTTTAGTGAATTAATTAGCGTTATTATTACTACTACTACGACTATGGAGTACAAGTATAGAGTACCGATTGATGTCAGAGGCCGAGCCAGGTTATGCAATTAAAAAAAAAAAAAAAAAAAGACCACACTAAAAAGCGAAGGTTAGAGAAAAGAAACGACACTGTTGGTGGATGTGTTGCATTGCAACCGTCTTTTTTTTTTTTTTTTCTCGCCCCGAATGGGTGAATGGTTCTAGGGGGGGCAACTTGCACCACACCACGGAGAAGTAACAGAAAGGAGTGGGTAAAAAAAAAAAAAAAAAAAAATGAAAAATATGAAAGGGAGAAAGAAACACAACAACAATACAACAACAGTTTGGTTGATCGCTAGTTGGTTAGTTTCTCCGAGAGGCAAAAAAGACGGGCACGGGAATACGGTAAAGACTTTTTAGTCAGAAAAGGAGGCAAAATTACCGCTGGTTACCGCTGGTTACCGCTAGAATACCACACACAGACAGCTGAACAACGGTCGGTCTTTGGGGTCATTGCTGGTCATTGCTGGTCGTAGCTGTTTCTGACTGGTTACATCCACCCACTTTCATACATACCATACGTACTCCGTACATACATACCAAGAATTACCCAGATTAGCGGCAGACGAAGCGCTAAACTGGAAACGAGTCACTTGTCTTTATCCACATTTTTTCTCCCTCCACCACCATTTTCAGACTTTGCTCCGTGTCGAATCCGAACCACATCTGGATGACTATGGATGATGATTATGATGGATAAATGATATGGTGCCGATGGTGATTCTACCATACTACGGAACACGGAAACGAATAAGAACAATGATGGCGGTGATGGTGACAATGTGACGACGATAGTGTCCCACTCCCGTTTATCCATTGTTATCCATCCGTTTTGCTCCATCCATCCCGGCCAAGGAATCCATTCCAACACCGACGACGCAGGCGGCAAAGCAAAAGCGACTGCTTCTTTACGACATGACCTGTACGAGTATGGAGCAAGTCTACGGAGCACTTTGTGGGAGTGTGCCTATCCTATCCCATGGTGACCGAGAGGGGCCGGGCATATCATCATCCCCCATGGCTCACCTGAAAGCCATGGCCTCCTAGCATCAACGCATTAACGCATTAACATGGATTAGGGCGCTAAACAGGAGACGGATTGGCACCCTTCCGTCGGTCGGTCACTCGCTTTCGTTTCCTTTTTCTCCTTCCCTACTTTTTATTATTATTATTATTTATCATTATTGAGATGAGATAGCACATACGTACTATGTATGGAAGACCGAGACCGTCGTACAGCCGCCATTCTAGGGGAACGATATTCATTCCCAACCGGGTTCAGAGCACACGGTATGGATACGTAGGATACTAGCACAGAGTAGTATGAGTAGTGCATACAAGAGAGGCTTATGACTGATCTCGAAGGCATGGTTATTATGGAACCGATCAACCACAAAATATTCCTGGGTCTATCATTGGCTGGACACCTGCGTCGATTCTCTCTTTCTCTTTTTCTCGCTTCATTATTTGACTTTTTTATGGGACCATCAGAAGGACAAGTACGGAGTAAGGCAAATTGGTCATTTCCGACGGTCTGCATTCGGCACTTGTTGCTAGCAGTAGTGCTACTACGTACGGGGCAACTCTGTAGTACACCAAAACACTCGTAAGAGTCAAAATGTTCGATAATTTATAGACGTGCCACTTCGATCGTCCCAAAGATCCTTTCTCTGCTTATCGCCGCGGTTTTTCCTGTTAAACCTTCATATCCGAAAGCCAGTGATGGTGGCTAGGCCAGGCTGACATCAACCGGACGACTTTCCGTCTTTCGCGCCGTGATCCTAGTCCGCGGTTTGACAGTTCAATAGTACTTCATCTCTGACTCTCATACAGAAACATGTCCATGCGACGTCTCTCATTCGCCCGGTAGTCTTGGGGATCCCGCTGGATTCGACGATTAGCTGCGACTATCAGTGCAGACTATTATGTGTTATGCACATCTGGACCAGGAGACTTTGATTGATCATTACAAAACAGGTGAACAGAACGAAACATGGTCGGTAAAAAGCCAACCTGTTTGCGGATCGTCTGTCTTTCGTATGAGTTGCAAATACTGGTAGGGAGACCTGGTCTGGGCGCGAGATGGCAATAAATGCACATCACGAACGCTTTCATTATTCGGGCGCTGCCCGTGGACGGAGAAGTTCCATTATAGTGCTATTCCAGATGCTGACACTCTTTTCCTTTTCTTTTTTTTACTACGGATGTATGTTGCTGAGCAAGGCAACCTTTTTCAGATGGGGCTCGTACACCGTATATCCGATGCAAAGACACGAACACAGTTGGAATACGGAGTCCCCAGTAGAACCAAAAATTGTGGTGATGACAACCAGTAACTGTAATAGTAGTAGCATCGACTAGGCCGACTCCAAACGATAACTCTTACGGAGTACGAGGACTATACACAAAGTGTACCCTCCGTGAACCATGGTGACCTCTTGTTCTTCTGACTGAAGATCATCATCGCCCAGTCAGCGCCCGACCAAAAGAGGTCACCACGACGAGTTGTTGTGAAATGATACTTTATTTTCTCTTTCGGTGTGCACAGTACGGAATACGCGATAGTCCGGAAAACTATTTCTCAAGTCAACCAACTCTTTTTTAAACAGTGTGTGCGTATCGACTAGCTAATTAACAACTAACACAACCTAGCAGACCAAAGTTCGGGGTAACTTTGAGTGAGAACCTCCCTATGCCGAGGACCAGGATATCTTGGTCTTGGTGTTGGCAGGATCTCTGGCCCTCTTTTTTTTTTTTTTTTTTTTTTTCTTTTTCACTCCGTAGACTAACTAACAGACTATCCACCCACCTTTCCATGGGGGAGAAAGGAAGGCAGTGCGCACCCTTGCATTTCCCTGATTATTGGTTCGGATTATCTCCTAGAGGCGGGATGGAAACGAGAAACGAGCAAAAACTCAGCAATTCAATTTATGAGTTGGATCTGTCGGGCGATACGAAACCAAGCGCCTCTTTGCCGTCTTTCAACTCCTTCATTTCTGGTACCGCCACTTTGTTGTAGTCCGTCTCCATTTAACTCCGGGCGGACAATCAATCAATCAATCAATCAATCAATCAATCAATGATAATGATGATGATGGATATGGACATACGCCGTTCTCCGTCTCCGTACACCCACGCGGGTCCAGTCTGGTCATGTCTTTCATCCTGATTTCTCTTTGCAGGTGGATATGCCTTTACGGAAAGCAGCGAATAGTACAGAGTACAGAGCACATCGGTTTCCCCGACTCATTAATATTCTCATCATTATGCCTTGTCAGAGTCGATCACCTGGACCCGCGTAAAGTGCACGCGAGGTCAACGTAGACTAAAGATTCCATACACTTTTTTTTCCAAAGTCGGAGATTTGTCTTTGACGAATCTAAAGTGGAGTCCCGTGGTTGTTTGTCTCCTACAGGTTTATCCTTGAGTAGAGCTCTTCAGGCATAGTTTAGCACATACTTCTCTTACCTGTACGGGTTTAGCCTTGTTGTTCTGTTCTTTTGTTCTCCCTCCTTGCTCGCCAAAATCCTTGCGGCAGTACTTTCGTATACGGGTTAACCGCAAACAAACTGTCTTTGACTCTCTAGGTGATTTTCGGTGGACTTGTACGGAGCGTTGACTAGACTAGCTGGAGCAAGGATCGCAAGCAGAACTAACCATCCAACCTCGGCTGGGTTTTGCAGCCACCTGAAACCCAAGCACGGGTCCAGACTTTGCACGCTTTAATCCGTGTCTATCAAAAAGCTAACTGCTCCATACAGAAGAAACCGGACAATCAGAATTAACACTCCGGATGGAGATTGAGACTTCCCCGCTCGGTAGAGACATACTTGTACAGACAAGATAAGTGGTATACTTCAAGGACGGTTTTCTGGAACCTTAAGAATTTGGCTTGTTTCACTTCTTGGACTCTTGGAGTACTAATGATGACTCTAAATATAGATTCTTACAACAGAGCATTAAACGTCCATAAGAGCGACTATGTAGCCGCCACTCTGGACCGGATACAGACGGATCTGGGCAGGTGGAGTCCAACGCGTAACTAGTCATAGTCAATGACAGCCTGTTAAGCGATGGTAGAGTATGCACGAGCATAATAGTATGTACTAAAATATGCCCATAAGCATTGAATTAAAGAATATGGGACACAAAGGCAAACGCATCAGTTGATCTCTGCACTATTGAGTGCTACGTACATGTGGACTTTAAAGCATTGTGTGACTTTCTCCTCAATGGAAAAGATGGGCGGTTGAGATACATGTATGCTGACTCTAAAATGGCTTGATTGAGTAACCACTGGCTAGATGCATCCTGCCATCCCGGGGCCATTGCCTATCATCCAGATATTGTGATTCAATTATCCCACTTACTGCTTATATGGATCTTCTTGCCAACCAGTCTGGTATCCAACTTGTAACTATGTAATTTTACAGCGGTGAATGCCGCGGCGGGGAGTAAAACCAATATAACCCAATTGGGTTAGCGTAGACTTTCTTTGCTTTCTCGTCTTTCTTTTTGTTTTTGTGTACAGGTTTCTCTACTCCAGACTAAACTATGGTATGCTATCTCATCATCGCGACTCCATTTTCCCGACTAGTTCGTCGCATAATTTTTTTTTTTTTTGGAATTTTGAGTCACAGTTAGAACTCTCATTATATTGTTGCCTCTGTGTCAAGGTGATCCTGATTACGCATTCGGCAACGCCGCGAAGCCGCGGCTTTGTCTCATACGCATTACATTCAATATTATGATATGGATGATAGTTTTGGTATTACCTCGGATTCGGCTCTTTCATCGTCATCATCTTCATCAGCATCGATGCCTGCCGTTTGTGGCCATCATGCATCATAATTCGATTTCAGGACTCTTTATGGAGTACAGCACAGCACAGACTCTCTTCCCTGACCATAGCCGGTCATCTGGCGATTCCTCCCGATCTAGATTGCTGCATACGCATAGGCCTGCTGCATAGCACAGACAGACATGTTCAAAACCTAACAATTCCCATTTCTTGGTTGGCTAATCCTTGACACTAACTACTACTGCTACTCTCACCATCCAATTTTCCAAGGAGGTCATCGACCAACGTGGTTGGGCAATCTCAGCGACCGTTCTCGGGCTGTTTCCAATCATATCGGTATGTACTTGCACTACAGACACCTGACTATATGATGATTATTATTATATCGAGGTTCAGTCAACAACCAGGGGTCCTGTCGGACCCTGTTTCGGTCGTATTCGGACTCGTGCTGCAGTTGAGCGTTGCTTTGTTTGTCCCTGGTTTTTCTTATTTCTCATATGAGGCTGGACGCGTCTAGAAAATGGATGTCACAAAAGTGGGAAAACTGTACATCGACCGGGTAGGTAACACAAACTGGTGCTTCCTCTTATTGGAGACCGGTTTTATCTT